GTGTGTGTGTGTGTGTGTGTGTGTGTGTGTGTGTGTGTGTGTGTGTGTGTGCTTAATAAAAAACAGCCTTTTCATTTTTTTGGAATTATTGATATTTCAAGTCAAAATTGGTCCGCTCAGAGAATAAATATTGATTTCCTCCTGCACCTCTTAATGAGGACAGTAACTGTCTTGATTGCTCTAGATACTTCATTGTTTTACAGATTTCATCATTATTGGAGGTTGCATTATTTTATAGTTCACTCTTTTAATATGCCATTTGCCTTATTTTATCCTTTTTTGTGACAGACAAGATAGAGAGTGAGGCTGAAATAAATGTGCCCCTCTTCATGCTTTAGCTCCATTGTCTTATCTATTTTAACAGATTTTGTCCTTCCTGTAATAATCCTGAAAGGATTTATTATAATAAGCTGTTTTCCTGTGCTATACTTTTCTAGTAATCAGACCACACATTAATTGTGCTATAATTAATTACAAAATATAGTATTACAAAATACTTCATCCAGACAAGTTTTACAATCCCTTTCTTTTCTTTGTTCTGGGAAGGAATGAATAACACCCAATTCTAACAAGATATGGACAAATTAATAAGTATATGAACATCCATGTGACATACTTGGCTTATTTTCATAAATTTTCTGTGAAATCTGACAATAATTCAGAATAAATATTAAGACACTATTGATCTAAATTACCAAACTTAATTAATCTGTATGTAGCTGGGGTAATCTTCTGGTACTGCCTGGCCCACAGTCAGGACAAATCTCTCTTACCCGCCAATCCAGCAGCTGCTTGGACCCAAGGAAACACACAGAGACTTATATTACTTATAAACTGTGTTGCTGTGGCAGACTTTATGCTATCTAGTTCTTATATCTTTAATTGATCCATTTCTATAAATCTATAAGTTGCCACATGGCTAGTGACTTACCAGTATCTTACATCATGCTTCTCATCACAGTGGCTGGCAGAGTCTTTGGACTCACCTCCACCTCCCAGAATTCTCCTCTCCCTTTGTCCCACCTATACTTCTTGCCTGGCTTCTGGCCAATCAGCACTTTATTTATTAACCAATCAGAGCAACACATTCACAGCTTAGAGAACATCCCATAGCATCTGTATGTCAGGTAAATGAGTTTTGGAATCCTTCCAGTTGCTAAATAATAAAAAATAGGGAAAACATAGTATTTCATTTAAAAAAAATTAAATGTATGTTAAATATGTTGATAAAAATTATGTAAAAGCAGTTTAAAAAGAACTGGTTTTATATTTACATAGTCACTTATTTAAACTCTTTCCTTTATAAAAAAAATAATTTTAGAATATGCCCCCAAATCTCAAAGACAATGGTTTTCTAGGTATCCAGGTCATAGATTTCTAGAGTTAGTAATGCTCAGGGAATCTCTAAGTCTTTATTCTAGATTTAGTCTAGAAAGCAAAAATACACAGTAGCAATATTTCATTAGAGTTTGTTTTGAAGTGCTTAAGAAAATTACAAAATTTGCATTTAGACTTTGCTTATTTTTGCTGAGCTTTGTCAAGCAATTTTAGTTAAGCAATTTTCCATGTATGAAATATAAATGTTAATGAGGTTAAGGGTCATATAATTGCATATTTCAGTAGGTTTCATGTGGCCGTAGAGCATAAAATGTGTGAAAGGATAATCCAGATGTGGCACAATGATGAGAGAAGATGGAACAAAACAGACAGGAAGGGTAGAAAATATTAACATTTTCCAGCATCAAAAGAAAGAAGAGTTCAAGACAGAGAAACATTATGATGAATTTTTATACAACACATTTTTTGGATAAATACATACATACATGTAAATGTATACACACTTTCAAGCAGATTAAACATATCCAGATTGGTAACATTTGCTATGAATATAGAGTATCAATAAAATATTACCAAATATGTGTTTTATAAAGCTTCTGAGTGAGGATTACTTATTAAACATTTTGACAAAAAAATTAAATTATTTGAGAATATAATTTATGCATGATCATTTTACTCTCTTCCTTATTTTAAGTAGATTCGTACTGTGGTTTTCTTTACAAGGGAAATAAAGTAATCAATGATGCTTTTAATTACTTTAATTTTGAAAGCAACATTTTCTCATCAGAGTCATTCTTTAATGCTTAGATTTTCAGAAAAAGTTCAGACTGTGAGTGTGGTTCAGATTATAAAATAATATATAAAAATATTAAATGTTCAGTAACACCTAAAGAAGAATATGCTACCCATACATGTCTTTGTGCATGAATTTACATATTATGTTTATGTTATAACTATACATATTATGAATACATATACATAATTATACATCTGAATATTCACATTTCTTTTATAGCTTTATTTATATAAAAACAATTCATTTTAACTTACAACACTACCACCATAAGACCTGTGTTAACTGCTACTAAAATCTGTTCATTATGAATGCATACGTGCAAGGTCACCACTTTTTCACAAATGTTTACATGGTGAACTATACATTTCCTTACTGAAAATACCTGAAAAGAACATCAACTTAAAAGAGAAAGTGTGTATTTTATCTCATGGGTTCAGAGGTTTTAATTAATTGTCAGATTGGTTTTGTTTTTGTTTTGTTTTTTGTTTGTTTTTGTTTTTTGGGGTTTTTTTTGTTTGTTTGTTTTTTGTTTTTTGTTTTTTGTTTTTCGCTGTAGGCCTGAGAGAGCTGAGTACTATGACAAAAAACACACATGGCGGATCACTCAATCATCTCATCCTGACTAAGATAGGAGGAAGCCTTTGGAAAGGTATCTCCAGGGAACCATTTACAATGACACCGTTTCCCCAGACAAGCCTAAATTTTCCTTTACCTCATAAAGTAGTATTAGCTGCTGCAGGCCAAACTTTCAACACAAGAACATGGAGGAGGAATGAATATTAACACCATAACAATAAATAGTTGAATAATTTAATTTATTTAATCTGCTTTAAAAAATAAATGCATACCTTTATATTTATATACTCAACTTAAAATTTAAATGTCTGTTGGTATGGCAACTGCAAACATATCAATTACACCCGATAAGTGTGCAGCTTTTCTTTGGAATTGTGTAATCACTGAGGAATACCGGAGTTATTGAGGGAATCTTGGAATGTTGTTCTGAGAGCTTAGAAGCCTAACCTACTTTACTCACAGTATTTTATATGTGATCTGCAAGGATTAGATAGTAGATACTTTTAAGTTAAAAAGGTATTAAGACCCCACTCCTCATAATGGGTTGTCTTGCCCAGCCTTATTAAAAGGTGAGGTTTTTAGTCTTACTGCAACTTGATATTCCATGTTTTGTTGATATCCACGGGAAGTGGGAGATCTGTCCTTTTCTGAACACACATGGAGGTGTGCATGAGGAGGGAAGAGAGAGGTAGGAAGGAGGAGGGACTGGCAGGAGAGGAGGGAGGGAAAACTGCAGCCAGAATAATAAATAAATAAATAAATAAATAAATAAATAAATAAATAAATAAATAAATAAATTTCTTTTAAATAGAAACAGTATTTAAAAGAACATAATTAAGAATACATTATTAGCTGGGTGGTGGTGGCGCATGCCTTTAATCCCAGCACTCAGGAGGCAGAGGCAGGCAGATCTCAGTGAGTTCAAGGCCAGCCTAGTCTACAGTGTGAGTTCTGGGACACCCAGGGCTACTCAGAGAAACCTTGTCTTGAAGAAGGAGGAGGAGGAAGAGGAGGGGAAGGAGGAGGAGGAGGAAGAAGAGGAAGAAAGGTGTCTTTACTTGAGTTCCAGGAAAGGCACAAAACTACACAGAGAAACCCTGTGTCGAAAAAACAAACAAACAAAAAAAGAATACATGATTCATTTCAATATTTTCATATATTCTTAGTTATATGTTTATTTTCTTATTTATTCATTCTAAAGCATATTTCAAGATATCTACAAGACAAGAGAATAGAAGTTACAATTTTGTAAATTGTTTTATTTAAGCATCAAAACAAGCAAAGAGTTTAGGTAGTTAATTTTGTAAAAATATCTTGTATTTTTTAATTTTTATTTTAGAAAATAAAGAAATCCTTGCTGTGAGAATTCAGACCCTGGTCTTCTCTTCACTTTGGAGTTTTGATGTCCTCCTGGGGTGACATGGCACATTATGTATGGCTCAAGGCTTTTTAGGCAAACATGAAATTATTCTGTCAGGTCTTTGGATTCTTCCTGGAATATTCTAGACAGTTGTTTGCATCTTTGCATGGCATTTGTTGTAGTGTGGGGTCATTTATCTATGCCTGTGTCTGTCATTTGCCATTCATTGACCGAAAATTATAAAGAATATTCAATTCCACAATTTTAGTACACACTTTTAGTAAAGCTATATAAGGTGATCAGTTTGGAGACAATATGAAACAAATGGATGAATACCATGCTGTTTTTACTTCCTGATTCAGCTCAGGTGTGAATCCTTTGTTACAAAGACATTACGTACCCTAAATGAAGATAATTAAAATAAGTAAGTTATTGGAGGGAAAACTACACACACACACACACACACACACACACACACACACACACACACACACACACAGAGTCTTTTACCAAATTATATAACTTGGTTTTTTTTTTTTAACTTGGCCCCCAGAAGAATTTTACTCAGTATCCTAAGTTCTTGGCTTGCTTAATTTGGACTATTTTCTTTTTCTCAGGAAAATTCTATCACATTGCCATTGCCTTAATTTTCATGGTCAACAACAATTACACAGTTTCTGTCTCTTCTTATTTCATTTTTGGAACTTTTAAAGACAAAGGATACAGTTTAATTAGTAATTATTCTCACAATGCTATGGAAGACATTACTCTTTATTCTTCACCCTTAGACAAATATTTTTATCGCTAAAATGAAACTGGGTTCAGTATTAATAAATGTTGACAAACTTAATGAATATGTAAATAATTTTGTTTATAGCAAAGCTACCACCTTATGCTATTTTTTGTAAAATAAGCTATAAAACTAATAAAATAAAGAAAAATAACCATATTTGTAGAAAATACACATGCTATAAACATTAGTAACTGCCCCATACATTAATTCACTGCTCTTTCATCCACTTATGCCATAGTTGTTTTTTTTTTTGACAAGAATGAGACTTTAATCAGTTTTAAGTGGAGTTTATAACACTAAGATAAAGGGTTGTTAACAAACACAGTAACAAATGGACATCTGATTGGCATGAGGTATTATCCTGTACACATCATACTTGTGCATCCTCAGTGCATAGCATTTACACACAGAGCCACTGCTGCATAGCACAAGAGTATCTGTAGAGGCTGAATCAGAGTAAGGCTGTTTTACAGACTCGATTTTTTAGTATATATATTCTATACGAAACAGATTCAACTTCTGAACTGGCAGGCAGAAGGCAACTCTGCCATACTACAGTTGTTTTTTTTTTTTTTTTTTTTTTTTGAGATTCAGAATTAAAGAATTTTTTTAATCAATTACCCACCAAAGCTCAACTATCCTACCCAGGAAGAGGTTGACTTCAAATTTTAGCTGAGTTTTTTTAATGTAAGTTCATATTTTATAATATACCAGTAGTCATGTATATGTTTTATAAGAAAACTAATAATTAATAAGAAAACAAATTACTGTAAAAGGGGACTTTCTTTCTAAAATCCCTCTTGTGAGACTATTAACCTCTGGATATCATTATGAAAGAATCATGATGAGATCCCCAATTCCAGACTGTGATTTTTTTTGAGAAGCTTCCTAAAACCATTAAAAACAAATAGTGCAAGGACCTATAATTTAGTCACTGTTTTAAAGCTCTTCCATACTATAATTTCCACTTCATGAAAAAAATGTATCATTGAAAATAGAGATACACTCTGATCTTACATTTTTATTGTCCTTTATTAAGGAATGATATGATAAAATATGGTTTAAAAGATCCCGAGTCAATATTCTTTCAATATTGTGTTAAACTTAACACAAGGATTGTAGTTTTAATTCGGTTATATACATTTTCTTTGTTTTTAATTGAAAATAGATTCTTCTCTCAAACAACACATCCTGACCACAGTTTTCTCTCCCTCTACTCTTCCCAGTTTCCCCCACTTCCCCCACTATTGCAG